TAGAGCGAGTGCTTGGCATAGAATTGAGAATGGTTCCTTAGTCTCTACAGAATAACTAAAAGAGTTACGATATCGACTTGTTAGTCCCCGGCAACAGCGCCAAAAAATTTATCGCGACTTTGGGAGTCTTAAAGAATCTAGACTGCAAGTATACAACCTTATCATGTGTAGCTTTAAATATTATCGAATCCCAAGGGACTAAATGTCGAACTACCGTTATCTTAGGTTACTATGTAAGTCTAAGGCTAATAATGTAATTAATAGGGGTTTAGGGAACCTAACGGATTATAATCTAGTTAAGATTCAACGGAGCATATCGGTATGTAATGGTCGGACTTCGGGGATTTAGCAACTCATTGACCTAACTCGGATTAACAGAATAATTTTCAGTAGAAAGTATTTGTTTGAAAACCCTCTTCTCTCACTCTCGTGTTTACTGATTCAGATCCTACGATTAAACCTAAGTGAGTGCTCTCGTTGTTTCAATTAGAGTTTAAAAATAGTTTTTGGAAACAAACAAAACCTAATCAACTTAAAAGCGCTCTCGTTGTATTTTAAGTTTATGCACAATTACCATTGTCCAGTTATTATCTCAAACTGTCGTTTTATTGATCCTAACTTCTATATGTATTTTACTCTCGTAACAAAACAGTTAATATTTAGAACTAGTAATTGAAACCAGAAAATTATTCTTTTTAAAAGGAACTGGTCAATTGGAGTTGCTAAAACCCCGTTGGCTATATGACCTTACATACCGATAAATAAATTTAGCCTAACATGTTAAAAAATTCAATAACAGTGTAACAAAAATAATTACCATCTAATAATTTAAATAAACTAAACATTTCAGACAATCCTGGCATAAATAAATAAAGTACTTTGAATTAAACCTGAAAATATTATGGCATAATATTTGGCTAATATCATATGTCTCCCACAGATCGGTAAAGGAAATAATGCAGAAATTATTTGATAGAGTAACAGTAAAAACAGAGAAAAGAAAGCATGTTCAAAAATGGAAACTTGAGGTCCTATTTATAGGCTTGGAGATACGCAGGGAGTTGAGATATTTTCTCCTTCGAATTTGCCTCAGTGTAACGGTCGTTACACTCCTTCTTTTGAGGAAAGGCTGGCATGGCAAGGTGTAACGGTCGTTACCCCCTGCTTTTGAGGAAGGGTTTTCTTGGCATGGTGTAATAGTTGTTACACTAGGGTTAGGTGACGTGTAACGGTCTTTTCACCCCTTGGACCTTGGGTCAATAGGGCCTAGCGTGTGTTTCTTATTTAGACTTCCAATGCTTTTTACTTGTAATGCACCCAATTTTGCCATACACCCCTCAATTGCATAATTTCTCTTTTTTTGTGTGGATTTTAAATACGATTAGCTCAACTTTTCTTGACTTTCTTCGCACATGCCTTGCAAACATCAAATTCCTAAAAACATGGAAATACCAACATAATACGAATAAAGAGTAATTTAATTAATTAAAATGCGGATAAAATTTATGTAAATTGATCCAAATATTTGATACATTTCTGGATTATCATTCACGACCATCCATTGGAATTGTGAATCCAGACCCAAAATGTATGAAATTGTTCGTCCTTGGTGGTCTTGGGGTCACTGGGGCACCCTGTGTTTGCACTAGGGATAGAATTGTTCCGCTATAAGTGTTTGTCGGTATTCCTTCCGTACTTGCTTGAGCAGGTACCAATTTGGTTATAGAGATTGCAGCTGAATTTTCCCGTGCCGAAGGGGGGTGGTTATTCTCCATTATTGCTTGGTGGATTCACCATTCTTCTAACATATTTTCTTTTGGGTAATACTTCGTTAGTTCTGGATATTCTGCCACTTCTTAATATCATGCAACAATGTTAAAGAACAAACTTTTTTATGAAAAATAGTGACAAATTTAAAAAATAGACATTGCGTCCCACTGGGCGTGCTAATTTGTTTACTGTGAAATTTGGTAAACAATCGTCAGTCTTTCGAATCCTAGAGATTTTGGTTGCTTACAGGGTTGACTAGAATGATCCTAGGATAATAGTATATATTTTGTTTTCTAAGTTTTCTGGGTGTCAATCTCTTCGACAAAGATTGTGATTTCGAAAGTAATAATAAAATGCTTTAAAATAAAGACTTGAATGTAAAGCGATTTAGATTTAAACTTAAAATAAATGTAAAGGACTTCAATTGAAATGGAATAACATTGAATGTAAAATTGGTGCTTTATACGTATATTTTCAGCAACTCGTTTCTCGAACACTTGACACTTTGATTTATTTTGAGTAATTTGTACAAATAAGTGAACACACGGAATTCTATCATAAAAACTCCTATATATAATAATTCAAAACTAACTACCACGAACAATGTTCTTCTTGGAGGATGACACATCCTTGTTTGCATGTCTCTAGCCTTTCATAGACTTCCACGTATCTCTTTTTCAAAGATCAGATGAGTGCTAAAATAAATTATAGCCTCATTTGAATATCTATCGAACGTGCTTCGAGTATCTTCAGAAAATTTACTAAGTCATTCGCCTTGCATTGCTCCATCTTAGAATAAGCTTTTATCATCCCAACATTGGTCTTTCGAGTTCTCTTCGAATCTCTATTCGTAGGAGCGTCAAAATCACAGCTAACAAACACATGCTATCTTCCCCATGTCCTCGAAGTCACAATACTTTTCTTTCGAAGATGATGATTGGACTAATTCCATTTTTTTGAGTTTCTATTTTGTTACAGGCTCGTGTGTTACGGTTATCTGCCTTTTTGAAAATACCTAACTTTATCCTAGACTGCTCTTTCGAGTTTTCTATCCATTGGGATGATGCCCTTTTTTTCTTAAGTCATCCTTTTAGTTTTTTGACTTATAGGGTTTTTCTTTGATTCTTTTGATATCCTTAACTTTTTCCTGGACAACTCTTTCAAGTTTTTACTCCACCATGATGCCATTTTTTTCTCCTAAGTCACCCTTTTGGGTTTTCGACTTAACGGGTTTTATTCTCCTTTTTTTTCTCCCAGGTATAATACTTTTTTAATGCTTCGAAGATCACTGTAAGTGGAAACTCCTCTCCGCCCATGGTCGTAAGGATCAAGGCTCCGCTAGAGAAATCCTTTTTCACAAAATATTACCACGTGAATCCTTTTAGATGGCCTTCAACACCAAGTCACCTTCCATGAACTCTCAAGGAATGACCCTTTTATGAAACACTTTCTCGAGCCTTTTATGATATAATTGACTGTGATATAGTGCAATCATACATTTGTCCTCTATGAGATTAAATTAGTTAAACCTAGTTTGGACTCATTTTGTTTCTTCTAATTTATTCTCCATTAGATTGGAACCAATTCAATTTTCTCACTAATTAGAGAAGATCATTCACATCCATTAGAGAAATAAAGTTATTAAAGTCTCTGCTATCAATATTTCCTTATTAAAGTTTGTACAGTTAATATTTCTAGATGAACTAGAAAAATCACACACCCTATACTTTTTACTATTTATTGAAATTTAATAATAAAAAAATAATACACTTAATTGATCATTAATATTTAAGTTATCAACTAAGTTAAATAAAGAAATACACACCACATTAATTAAATATCTATAAATGTCTTTTTGCAACACCTTAGTGGTAAAAATTATTTAATTAAATTTTTATAAATGTCATTTTGCAACACCTAAGAGGTAAAAACTATTTAATTAAAATTAAAAAATAAAATTATTACTTGTAAAAGGATAAATTTTTTATTTATTGTATGCAAAGAAAAGAATTTATGGCTCACATACTAATATTTGTTTATGCATTGGTCGTCTTTCTTTATCTATTTCTTGTTGAAGCAAGTAAAGTTGTGTTAATTATCATACCATTTTTAGATTTTCTAATTTATTGATATACAATATCTTACTATTTTTAATGTTGTTTCTTTTTTACTTATGTCACATTTTTGAGACTGAGATTCCATGCAACATAATCAATTATTGTGCCGATGTTGCTTATTTCAAGAAATTTTTTATTGCAAGACGTGTTGATTATTTTATTCTTTTGTTCCAAAAATACAACACGTGACTTCATTAGAAAACATATTCCACTTCAATTCTTTTCCCAAATCAATCGTGACTATCAATCTCTTCCTCTACCTCTTTCTCTCTTCTTTTTTCTTACTATTCTCTTCATTCTATATCATTCTTTCTTCCTCTTCTCTCTCTATATTTCATCTATTTCACTTAACTTTCTTGAGATCTCCTTTTTTATCCTAACTAGATTTCCGTTAAAACTGTGAGATTGCATCTGAGATGATGGATTGTAAATCAGGGGTGGAGTTATGGTTATGTGTCCTGATGATAGAGACACATGATTAAATATGGATTAACTTTCGTGTTGGAAAAGGTAACGGAAAAAACAACGGTGTGTGTTTCGATTTGTGGTGGTGCGGCGGTTGGACTGATTGAGATACAGGGGTTTCTCTTCTCACCATTTCAAAACTGTCATTTTTTTGAGATTGAAACAAAACCGTTTAGATGTACTTCAGATCCTTCACAAACACTCCCCCAAATCCATATTCACCTTCAACCCTCGATATGACCGTGTTTCCCCTATCCGCTTCAATCTTGAAACCAGAAATTCCGCATTGCCTTACATAAACAACTTCGTTCTGTACATCGACAGTGAACCCAAGGTAATCACTTTCGCTATCTTCATCTCCCTCTTTCATCAATTTCATTTTTTTACTTAACTTAATTGTTATTAATTTTAATTTTGTTTAGGAGTCGCTACTGAAACCTTTGAGCAGGATCTTGATTAGGTTTGCTCTGATAACTATTATGGTAATGTTGGTTTCGGGTGATATTTCTGTTAGTACTCCAGAATAGGTTCAGAAACTGAATTTTTCAAGTGTGAATTTTCCTCCATTGATAGTTGCTTGTGTAGTTGTTGTTTTCTCTTGGACAAAATATATGGTTTTATGTTCATGGTTTCCTAATCTAGGTGCAAATGGGTGATCAAATGCGAAAGGTATTTATTTATTTATCTACATGTTTGTTTCTGTATTAACTTATGATTTTTTTTAGTTTAATATTGCTGCAACTATGTAGCTTTATTATAGATTAGACCTAAGGATGTGATGAAACTTGGTGATAGGGTTTATGTTCCAGTGTCAATTGCTGAAACTAGGATTTCTAAAAGATATGATGCTATACAGAGCGGAACATTATATATGAATGCTGATGAAATTAATTATCTACAGAGGCTTGTCATTTATAAAGTATGTTTATTTTTGTTTCGTGTTCTTTCTCTTGGCTTTTTTTATGTTCGATTGCGTTTGCATATTGAGTGTTTGTTGATTATTTAGGACTCTGCGATTATTTTGCTGAATAAGACTCCGAAGTTGTCGGTTAAGGTTTGAATAACTTTTTCATGCTTTTAGAAGTTTAACGAGATGGAATTTGTTATGGGGTTTTGATTTTATGTTGTTGATGTTGTTAGGGGAATGTTCTGATTCATAATTGTATGGATGAATTGGCAGCTGCAACATTGTCTTATGATTATGACTAGGGCCCTAAAATGGTAAACTACTCTTTTATATATTGTTGACATTGATGTGATATACGAAATAATTTGGTTTGAATTTGCTAGTAAATGAATCATCCTGCAATAAATGAGTATATGTTCATATAACTATTATAGACATTTCCATTTTAACTAAATGATGAAAAATTAAAATCTATCGGGAATTTTGGAAATGTCTAGGAGAGAAAGATATAACTTGGTTACAAAATTTGTTTAATAACATGATGAGGTCTAAGAAATTCTAGACAGTCAAAGGTTTAAACTGCTATATAAATAGTTAGGGCTTAATGCTTAAATGGGTCTGTAGAAGGAGAGGAATTAATTGAGGAAGGGGGCACAATAGGTTTTGGAGTTGGGAGAAAGAGGATGAATAACATAATGGAGATGTCACATAATAGGGATGGGGGAAATAATTCAGGAATTTAAGGGCGTAACAGACTTGGAAAGGCATTTGAGACATTAACAATCGGGTCTTCGAGGTTCAGCCAAGAATGGGTCTGGCTCTCTCTCAGTCAAGGGAAATTCTGCTTTCGTATTTACTTTTTGTTCATTACCAGATACAAAACTTAATCATTTAATATTTACACTTTTTATATTTACACTTGAATATTATATTTACACTTGAGCTTTATGTCTCCCCTACCTACTTTAGGCTTGGAATAATGCATGTGAAGCTACATATCAAAGATATTGGGCCTTGGTCATAGGGACTCCCAACGAGAAGGAAGGCATAATTCACACTCCTATTTCTAAGGTTTGCACCCTTTCTCTTTTTCTTTTATGTGTGTTTAGGTCCAGTGACGGTTTGCAACATGCTTAATGTTATTATTATATTAGAATGTGTTACTAATTGTGTTTATATATGCGATGTTATGTCAGGTGCTTATGAATGATGGGAAGACTGAGAGGGTAATGCTAGGTTACCATTCGAGTATAAAACCTCACCAAGAGGTTATAACTGAGTATCGGGTTCTTGGTCTAAAGATAAATGGATGCTCATGGATTGAGATACGTCCACTAACTTATCGCAAGCATCAGGTATTTTTGGCGATCCTTTAAATTATCTATTCAACTAAAATGTGCTTGTAAAGAAAGGAATTGGACATGATTTTCATATATGTTTGAATATAGTTAGGAATTTAATTTATCTTATAATATCATTAGTTTTGAAATATTTTGTTCTATTACGCGCATTGTGTGTTGTAACATTTCACTAACATTGAATCCTATGAGTGGCATGTGGCCCAGAAGGACTAATAATGAGTTTAAATCAATGCCATTTCTCTGCTGCATCATCTTGCAAGTCAACATTTCACTTGCCATAGAAGGACTGATAGTGTATCTGGATTCGAATGTTGGTCTGAATATTCAGAATGGTCAGCCTGCGAATCTCAGAAATCTTACAAGTAACCAAGGTATCTTTGGGATCCAAGTTGTGGGGAATCCTCCTCCACCTACTTCTATTCATCAGAGTTTTGAACAACATATTATACTACCAATGCCTGTTCCCATTCCTTCTAGGCCGCTAGAAGAAGATAATTGGGAAGATTGGATGTCTAATGTTGACGAACCAACAGAATATGACAAGAAGTTGCGTATACTTGAAGAGCGAATGCGAAGGTTTAAAAGCCAAGGTACGGTGGGCTTTTACATGTCTGATTTAGGCTTAGTGCATGGGGTAAAGATTCCCCCCCAAATTCAAGGTGCCTGATTTCGTGAAATACAAAGGCACTTCTTGTCCAAAGACCCATGTTAAGTCTTTCTACTGGAAGATGTCTGCGTATTCAATCAATGAAAAGTTGTTGATGCACTTCTTTCAAGACAGCTTGACAGGTGGCCCACTCGAGTGGTATATGTAGTCGGAAAGAAGTCACATCCGTACATGGAGAGAGTTGTTGAGGCTTTTGTTATGCACTATCAGTATAACACCAACATGGCTCCCACAAGAACCCAACTATAGAATTTATCCCAGAAGCGGGATGAATCTTTTAAAGAGTATGCCTAGAGGTGGAGAAAAATGGCTACAAAGGTTTAACCACCCATGTTGTAGCGGGAGATGGCAGAAATGTTTAGTAGTACATTGCAGGGCTAGTATTATACAACTGGCAGTACATCAGGTACTTTTTCCGAGATGGTAACACATGGAGAGCGAGTTGAAATCCGAATTAAGTTGGGAAAAATCCAAGATGTTATTGCTGGAAATAATGTTGGTAATACTAAGAAGTTTTTCGATGGTCACCAAAATAAAAAGGAAGGAGAAGCCAGTACGGTCTATCCTCGTAAAAGGGAAAGGAAGATGGTAGGATACATATCACCAGATTTCTGTCGTAACAATACTAGTTGCTGTACCCCAACAACAGACATATGCGCCCAAGAAGGGATACCAACAGAGGCAAACAAAAGTGCACATAAAATTTGACACAATTCCCATGACCTATGCAGAATTGCTACCTCAGTTACTAGAGTTGAAGTTGGTTGAGAAACGTACAATGCAGATTAACCCAAAAAAGCTACCACCAAATTTCAATGCTAATTCTACATATGAGTTTCATTCCGGAGTACAGGGGAATAACATTAAAAGTTTAATAACATTCAAACACAAGGTGCAAGACTTATTGGACTCTCAGGCTATTAATTTTGGGACAACACCTAATATTACTAGTCAACCTTTGCCACCTCTTGTAAATGCCAATGTCAGTGCCATTATTGAAGAACAAGGTTTGAATCTCGTTATGGATGTGAACCAGCTGATTACGCCCCTCTCATTCGTCAAAGAACAGTTATTGCAGAAAGGTGTGTTTTTGGGCCGTGGGTTTGATTGTGAAGATTGTTTGGTACAACCGGAGGGTTGCCAGTGTCTGATGAATACAATCTAAGATTTGATTACCGAAATAGTTTTGCAGTTCGACCGTACAGTTGCTGATACTAAAGTTGGCAAGGATGAGGTCAATGTGATAACCATTTCTGTCAAATAAAAAAAATTCAAGTGCCTGTTACAATTCCAGCCCCTGTCAGGAAGTCACCTATAACCATAATTGTACCCGGACCAGTACCATATGTCAGCAACAAAGTAATTCTTTGGCATTACAGTGGTGAATGTTACTAACATGGGAAGAAACTTGATACTCAAAAGTATAAGAAGGGCCATATAGAATAAGAAGAGTCTGAAGTTCATGACATTGTTGGTGGAAGCAGAATTACCCGCACTGTCCATATTTTCTCTCCACCAGGACAACCCGAAAGTAGCACGGGTGCCGCAACAAAAACCAGGGGCGAGCAGATTGATGTCAATGGTGGTAAACCGGGGAAAAATCGCCCTATTCCTATTTTTGATGATGAAATGGCTAAAGATGTAGCCGAGTTAAAAAGGTACATCAAGAAAAGTGACTATAAGATAATTGATTAGTTGAGTCAGACACCCTTAAAGATATCAATTCTTGCTTTGTTCAGAGATTAGAATCCCACATAAATGCATTAATGAAGCTATTAGGGACCCCTTTTGTTCCTCAAGAGATATCTATAAATCAATTTGAGGGAATTGTGAATAGCATTTCTGCGAGTAATGGGTTGGGTTTTACAGACTTTGATTTACCCCCTGAGGGGAGAAAGCACAATAAAGCACTGCACATTTCTATAGAAATTGCAAAAAAACCTTGTCCCATGTACTGGTTGATACGACTTCCTATCTCAACGTATTGCCCAAGTCCGCTCTCTTGAAGCTTGATTATAATGTGATTTTGTTAAGGCCGAGTGATTTAATTGTTAAGGCTTTTGATGGGTCCAATAGGACAGTGTTCGGGGAAGTCGACTTGCCAATCGAAATAGGTCCTCGGGTGTTTGAAGTCACTTTATTTATCATGGATATTAATCCTTCCTATTGTTGTTTGTTGGGTATCCCATAGATCCATGGGGCTGGTGTTGTCACATCCACTATGCACCAAAAGCTGGAGTTCATGTTGAATGGGAAGGTGGTCACCATTTGCGGCGAAGAAGATTATATTGTTAGTCATCTGAGTTCCTTTCGCTATGTTGAGGTGGAAGGAGAAATCCATGAGACATCGTGTCAAGACTTTGAGACTGTTCAAGTTGTCAGAGCTCCTTGTCAAAAGGATAGGAAGGTGAAGGTCTCAATGTCATATTATCGTCAGGCACAAATGATTGTCCAATCTGGTCATCCAGAGGGCTGGGGAAGAGTGTTGGATCTCCCTACTTAGACAAATGAGAAGGGTTTAGGATTCATGGTTGGTAGAAGCATGTCAAATGCTACTCCTCTCGAGGTTCAAGGTATTCCTCCACCAATTTAATTTGTCAGTGGTGGAGTTATCAACGAAGAGGGTCATTCTATGAGTGAGGATGGTGACAGTGATTGTGAGATGGATAAGTGGGTTCGTCCTACCGTTTTGGGGGGAAAGCTTGTCAATTGGTTCGTTGAGGACGTCATTGAAGTAACCCGTTATGAAGAGTAATTTTATTTTTATTTGTTATCATGCAATAATCCGTACGTCCTGCCTAAGACGTAGTGGACATGCTGTAAGGCCATGATGTTTTTCATTGCAAGTTTATCATCAATAAAGGACGTCTTTTGTATTCAAATATTTTGCTCCCTGTCTTTTATTTAAAATTATGGCAAAATGTGGGATTTTATTTTCTTTTTTAATCTAAGACTAAAATAAAAACAAAAATAATCATGCAGATTATGTCCCCCATTAATCTAGGAAAGTGTCAAGAATGATTCTACTATGGCTCTTTATGACTTTGAAAACCCAATTTATCAAGCTGAAGGAGAAGCTGAGGAAGATTGTGATCTTCCTGAAGAGTTGGCTAGATTATTGAGGAAATAAGAAAAGGTCATTCAACCATACCAAAAGACTATTGAGTTGATCAACTTGGGCAGCGAAGAGGTCCAAAGAGAAGTCAAGATTGGGGTTGCTCTAGAAGACAACATCAAACAAAGATTAATTGAAATTCTCCATGAGTATACAGATATCTTTGCTTGGTCTTATGAAGATATGCCTGGCCTGGATACAAATATTGTTGTTCACAAGCTACCATATAAAAGAAGAGTGTCCACCATGGATTGCGAATATTGTATCGGTGCCTAAAAAGGATGGTAAAGTCAGAACGTGTGTAGACTATAGGGACTTGAACAGAGAAAGCCCTAAATATGATTTCCCGTTACGTCATATTGACATTCTGGTTGACAATACTGCTCAAGCTAAAGGGTTTTCCTACATGGATAGTTTTTCTGGCTATAATCAGATCAAGATGGCACCAGAAGACATGGAGAAAACCATTTTGTTATAAAATGCAGGGGCAACTTATCAACGTGCAATGGTCACTCTCTTTCATGACATGATACAAAAGGAGATTTAAGTGTATGTTGATGACATGATTTCCAAGTCCCAGACGGAAGAGGAACATCTTGTTCACTTATTGAAATTGTTTGAAAGGTTAAGGAAGTTCAGACTAAGGTTGAATCCTAATAAGTGCACCTTCGGGGTGAGGTCAGGAAAATTATTGGGTTTCATTGTAAGCGAAAAAGGAATTGAGGTAGATCTTAGCAAGATAAAAGTTATAGAAGAAATGCTTGTGCCGAAAACAGAAAAAGAGGTTCGTGGTTTTCTAGGGAGGTTGAACTAAATTGCTAGATTCATCTCTCACCTTACATCCACTTGTGAACCAATCTTTAAATTGTTGAAGAAAAATCAGACGGACAGGTGGACTAACAATTACCAATGGGGGTGTGTATTGGGGCAACATGACGAGTCTGGTCGAAAAGAGCATGCAATGTACTACCTTAGAAAAAAGTTTACCGACTTTGAAATGAAATACTCACTGCTCGAGAAAACTTGTTGTGCTTTGGTATGGGCTGCTCGCTGACTAATACAATATATGTTGGCCCAAACTACTTTGTTGATCTCTAAGATGGATCCAATCAAGTACATTTTTGAAAATCCAGCTCTCATGGACATAATATCCCGTTGGCAGATGATTTTAACTGAATATGACATCCTATACACTACCCAAAAAGCTATTAAAGGTAGTTTGTTGGCGGATCA